CCTTTCCTGGCTTTCCAGCTCTTTTCAGTGTACTTTACAACCTGGGAGTTGTCCTGTTTATATCAGTAAGGCGATTCTATTGCCATTATAAAATTTTTGCTGAACAGTTAGAGGTTAAATGTGGGTGGAGAAATGGATAGTAGTCATTATATTAAGATTAGTGGCCATCTATATGGTCCAGCAATACAACTTCTGGGTATTTATCCAAGGAAAACAAAACACTGTTTAGAAAAGACACATGCACCCCTATGGTTCATTGCAGTATTATTTACAATAGCCAACATATGGAAGTAACCTAAGTGTCCATCAATAGATGAATGGATAAAAATGATGTGGTATATATACTCATTGAAATTTTACTAGGCCATAAAAAGGAATGAAACCTTTCCATTTGTGACAACACGGGTAGACCTATGCTAAGTGAAATAAGTCAAACAGAGAAAGACAAATGCCACATGATTTCATTTATATGGGGAAGCTAAAAAGCAAAACAAATGAACAAACAAAACAAAATAGGTACAGACATACAGGAACAGAGAACAAACTGATGGTTGCCTAAGTGGAAGAGGGTGGGAGGACAGCCGAAATAGGTGAAGGGGGTTAAGAGGTATAATTTTCCAGTTATAAAATAAATGAGACACAGGAATGTAATATACAGTATAGAGAATACTGTCATTAATATTGTAAAAACTATATGGTGACAGGTGATTGCTAAGCTTATTGTGGTGATCATTTTATAATGAATATAAATATCAAACATTATGTTATAACCTTAAGCTAATATAATATTGTTTGTCAACTATACTTTGATAAAAATATATAAAAATACATAAATCTAAAGAAAACATAAAAAAACATTATTGTCCAAACCATGCTAGGCATGCCCCTTCTGGGCATTTCTATCCCTAAACGATAGCCTGCATTTTGTTACAGAAGCTGGCCTCCAACATCAAATCCCTGTCTCCTCCCTCCTCATTCCCCTGATTACAAATGTAATTCTCTGACTTGACCGAAAATCAACATTAATAGCAACAAAACCCCAAAACAATTCTATTCCTTATTTGTTTCAACTATTTTATTTTACTCTACTTCTTTTATATAATACTACTACAAATATAAATCCACATGAGTGTGTGTATATGTGTGTGTATGTACCTTAGAGACCAGAATGGGCTAAGAAAAACTATAAATAAATAGAAATATAATGATTTTTGTAAATATATTTGTTAGTGATGCTTGACAGGGACATTCTTACTGTACGTGATCGTGCAGCTCCACACCTGAATTGCTGCTGCGTGGTGAATGTTTGTATATCTCTAGGATGAGACTGAGTTTTGAAATGGCTAAGGATGTGTACAAAAGGAAAGAGTGTGGAAGTAAGAAAAATGAACAGAAAAAGAATAACATAAACCAACTTAATACCTTTACAATTATTTGTACAAAATTAGTCATTACTAGCATTTTGTAAAGTACAGAGCTATGTGTTTACTGCAAATGTAATATTGTAAGCATTAAGGATATTGGTGATCATTTTCTTTTTATTGTCACCCACAAATTTCTCAGAAACTGGTTGTAAGTCATGAAAGGTAAATCCTGAAGTGATTTTTTTTAACTTTCTTAATATTTCCCAAATTGTGTTAGGCTATGAATAAATACATTGCAGGCTCTCCCTGTCTTAAAGAAAATGTAAACATATTCTTCCTTACTCCCTATTAGCAAGTGGCTAAAAATGTATCCAGGAGAGTAATTAACATCAATAATGTGTATAAATCCTTAATTACTATAATTGAGGTTTATTGGAATGATAGTTGTTAGGTTAAATATTGATTATTAAAAATATATGTTTTCCCCCAAAATACATACTTAACTCAGTTGACAAGGAACTGTGCTATCTAGAAAATATAAAGTAAGTGTCTCCTTTGTATCCTACAATCTTTTGCTGATGGGAGGTTTACTGTGATTATCCCACTGGAAATAGATTTCAGAATGACCTTTCTAGGGAGAGGAAGTCTGGATATATGGTTTTCTTATAGTTGTAATAATCTGGAAAAAAAAGGAACTCAGCTAAGGCCTCTGTGGTCCAATAATAAAAGCTTGGAGTACGAGACTTAGAGCCAAGCTTAATATCAGAATTGTTGATTTTGGAGAATTCATCTTTAAAAAGAATTTGAGCTTTTCCTATTTCTGTATCCCTCTCTGCTGAAGACACTGTTACTGCTGGATACCCTTTGCATGGATTTTTTTAAAAGGATTAAGAAAATGAAGAGAAAGATGCTTTATAACCCCCAATTCTATATGTCATTCATTTTCTTTTTCCAAGTATACCTTGGGACAATTACTATGGCAATATAGTATCTCTAATAATTTACGGGCATTTATATAAGTTCTCGGCAAAGGACATTAGGGTAAATATGAGCATTCTTTAAATGTAAAGTGTAAGCTTTACAATAACAACTTTAATAATGATTTCTGTTGTTGGGCTATTGAGAAAATGCTCATTTAGGGGTTTTATTTCTACTGTCTTTGAACCTCAGCAAATGCTAGCGTTAGAGACTTGCTGGTTCTGCAAATGGTCTAAGATGACAAGCCACCATCACTTACAGGCAATTTGGGCTTCATTACAAATTAATGAAGTGATAATTGCTCTCTGCAACCTTTTATGGGCAAAGCATGCTGGTGCTGTTTGCATTAGCTTTTAGCAATTTATACCTTTGCATTCAAGGACTTGTGAAAGCTTGCCAATTAGTGTTAGAGGAAAATGTTAAACTACATTGAGATATCCATAATTAAAATAATATTTTACATTAAATTATGAAAATCTCTGTATAGTCTTTTCTCTCTGTTTGATGTCTAGTGAAATGCTGTTCATAGCAGGAGCAATTTGCAACTGATACATCAGTTACTAATTCTTATCTATTCTGAGAAGAAAATTTGACCTAAACATATTTAAGTCATTTGGTTTACTTTAAAATGGTAATGTCCACAATCTAATTTTCTGTAAAATGTAGACAGAAAAACACTTATTCTCTGGAGTTTTTGTTAGCTCTGTACTTACAAGCCATTGTAGAACCAGTGTAATGATAATAGAGAAATTTCCACATGATTGTGATTTTTTAACATCAGTTTTCTGAACCTTCAACTGTGTTCACTCTTTTTTATTTTTCTGATATTGAACTTGCACATTAATTTTTCTCTGAATATGACTTTAGTGTTTAGGCACCTCAATGTAAAAAGCCTCAGAACTAAGAGTCCCATGTAAACTTTTCTTCTTATAGCTCTCTAATACATTCATGAGATGAATGAAAATTTGTTAAAAGTACATTCTGCATATTTTCTTCCATTATAATATAAACATATCTTATATATTACATTTAGGATTTTCTATAATGGTCCAAATTTGTTTCCTTTGTTGAACTTCGGGTGTGACAATGAAATCAAGCCAACTTCGCCTCCAGAAAATGAGTCTCACACATCTCCCAGAAGGTGAAGTTGTATGCTGAATACTATGGAGGATATGAAGAGGTCTAAAATTTAGCAGACAGGTGTGAATCTAATCTTAGCATGTATCATGAAATAAGTATATAAATGAACAAGACATTTAATAAGGGCTATGTAGTACAGGAAGTTTCTTAAGAATGGCAGGGTGATAGAAGGCATCAAGGAGAAAGGAGCACAGTCCAGTTGGGGTTATACTGTAACCAAAAGAATGTCCAACATGTCTTTTGGAGACAGTCAAAAAATAGACAAATAAATAGTTCATGTTGACAGGAAGACAGTATGTGCATAAGTGAAATATATAATTTACTAATCTCAGTTCAAATTTTTAGCAAAATATAAAGGGAGGTTGGGACTGGTTTTTAGAAAAATGTGGACACCAATGTAAAGAGTTTGAAGTTATTGCACAGGTAATAGGGAGCCATAGAAGACTTTGAATTTAATTACGACTTGGCAAAAGATCTATTTTCCTGGCAGCCTTAAGCAAAATTGGGCATGGTGAAAAGAAAGTGGAGGTGTAAGGATAATAGAAACAGATGGTATAATAGTTGTAGAATCGTAAGTGAACAACAATGTGATGTTAAGTTAAAATCTCAAAACCTGTTCTAAGGATCACAGAAAACAGTGCTTTGTTGTTCTGAAAAGTCTTGAAACTTTTTAACTGTTTTTACAATGAAAAAAAGTTGTATTAGGATGACCCTAACTGCTGTAACAACAAAAACCCAAAGAGCCATTTACTTCTTACCCGTGTAAAATTCAATGTAGGTTAAAGATATTAAGAATTGAAATGTTCACTACCCTTATGTCTTCTGTTTTCCAGGTGTAGCTATTAGGTTTTTATAGGGATAGGGAGGGAAAAGAGGGATGTTCATATTCTCACTGCAAATTTTCTTTCATAGTTCACCAGCATGGATCCCTTGAAATGACTGAGTATGTTAAAAAATGTCATACACGAAGATACATGGTAATGACATTATCATTTAGATTCACCTGTTTTGCTTTACCGTATATTGATTTTACCAAAATCTGGCTCAAATTGGGAGATGAATAAAGATTAATTTTAGGCAGTGGTATTTTTCATTCTCTTTTTTAGTCACAAACACACAAACAGCAATCCAAAAATATATAGAGAACAAAACCATTTATTAGTGTTTTTGGAGATGACTGATTTGAGGTCATGATCCAGGAATATATGGCTAGGTCCAGTCTAAGCAACTATTTCCTGGATATCCCACAAACTGCAGTGCAATTCAAATATGTTAATTAAAATTGTAAATAACTTTATGCTAATGAATTCGGAGAAACTTGCAAATAATAAAACTACAAACAAAAATGTAATGGGATTGCTCCACATCATGAACTTTAATGAGTAACACTGAAGTTTCTGTTTATTTATTTTGCATTTCCTGTGATGCCTTTGGCACCCTCATCTTGTATTCATTATCATTCATTATGCTTAAACTAATTCATACTGCCTCTCATGTTTTTTCTCCTTGATTCTTCAGTGGGAAGAAATCAGTGGTGTTGATGAACATTACACACCCATCAGGACTTACCAGGTGTGCAATGTCATGGATCATAGTCAAAACAATTGGCTGAGGACAAACTGGGTCCCCAGGAACTCAGCTCAGAAGATCTATGTGGAGCTCAAGTTCACTCTACGGGACTGCAATAGCATACCAATGGTTTTGGGGACTTGCAAGGAGACTTTCAACCTATATTACATGGAGTCTGATGACGATTATGGGGTCAAATTCCGAGAGCATCAGTTTACAAAGATTGACACCATTGCAGCTGATGAGAGTTTCACTCAAATGGATCTTGGGGACCGTATTCTGAAACTCAACACTGAGGTTCGAGAAGTAGGTCCTGTCAACAAAAAGGGATTTTATTTGGCTTTTCAAGATGTCGGTGCTTGTGTTGCCTTGGTGTCTGTGAGAGTGTACTTCAAGAAGTGCCCATTCACCGTGAAGAATCTGGCCATGTTTCCAGATACAGTACCTATGGATTCCCAGTCCCTGGTGGAGGTTAGAGGTTCTTGTGTTAACAATTCAAAGGAGGAGGACCCTCCCAGGATGTACTGCAGTACAGAAGGCGAGTGGCTGGTACCCATCGGCAAGTGCTCATGTAATGCTGGCTATGAAGAAAGAGGTTTTATGTGCCAAGGTAAGTCTTCTCTATTTTCCTTAGAGTGTTATTTCTCACCTGCAAGTTTATCAGAGTAATTGAAAGAAATGAACTCAGACTGAACTCACTTGGCAGCAAAACATACTTCAGACTGAATGGAGTCTATTTGTAGACTAAATTTATACCATCCAATGTGTTATTTTTTTGTAGAAATATTAATGTGTTTAAATATGTGGTGCTGGCCAACACCCCACTAGAGGTGTTACATATGCTATTTTTAGGTTTTCCCTGCTATTTAATAACTATGGCAGTATGACTCTAGTCCAACAGCAAGGAAAAAAAATCTCTTCCTCTTTACAAAGAGGGAAGAAATGTCATTGGCACTCAAATAATCAAATTGTGACAGAATTAGATACTCATTGATTATTTTTGTGCTCTTCTGTTTCATAGCAGTATGTACTTAGTATAAAATACACTCTTTCCTTCAGTGACATCTGTGCATCAAATACATGTTTACTTACAGTGTATTAGTCCTTTAATAAAGATTATTTTATTTAAAAATCCAGGGTTGAGACTTCAGTGTTTGATGTATAGAGGAGTATTTAAAAATAAAATTATTTTGTGCCATGATTTGCTCCTTTTGGCTGCCCAGGAGACTATCTGTACCACACCTTAGATTGGAATGCATATTTGATCCTTACTATAGAATTAGAGAACCTCAACTCTGTCATCAAGTTGGCTTTTATTAAAAATCTCTTTGTACTTAAAATAAAATCAGTTACAATAAAATCTTTTTCATATAAAATATGATATATGCGATGAAAACTTCTACTTCATCTCAAAATGTGTTATTTAGCATTAGGCAAGGGTTTCTGTTTAAGAAATTATTGTTAAAATTTTGAAATTATAAATACATAGGAGAGCTTAGGTACCTAGTCCTTAGAATCTAGTCTGTTTTAATACCTGCTTTTGCTGTTGTACTGTGCCCAGGAAATTGAGTTTGGTATTCTACTTGAGACTATTCAGTAGGTGTCAAGTCAATAAAGAAATGAATGTACTTTATACATAAATTGACCTTTATGACAATCTGAACAGAATGTAGTGTTTTGCTTTTGACTATAGACATAGTTTATACAAAAAAATTTTATAGTAAGAGTAAATAGTACACTTTAGCCCCCTACTTGCTCATGCTATTTAGATCCTTGGCAAGCACCATCAGAATACTCTTACTAACTATGGTTTTGAAAGTTTGAAATTTGAAATAACATACTAATATGATTTGCTTATATATATGAGTGGTACTGTTTGTGATATATGATATTTGTGAGATTTATTTTAAATAACATAATAAAGTCCTAGCTCAAGAGGAATTAAAAAATCATCCATTCTTTCCAATTTGGTCCCTACTAAACTTGTCTCTGATATCCACACCAGGAAAGGAATAGATGTGTCTGCATCTCAGTAATATGTATCAATTTATGCAGAGCAATATTCCATTGAACAAGAAACCTAATCATTAAATGCTAAGACTTTAAATAATTTTTATATAGTATTTTATGTCTCATTCAAGAAATTAAAAAATATATATCAGTGAGGTAATAGAATCACAAAAGTGCTAATCAGAATAAGTAAAACATCCAAATAATTAACTGATATTACATGCTGTTTTGAGGCCAAACTTTAATAGAATTTCCAAAAAGAGTTACATTAAGCTGTATTGAGAAAGCTCACAATAAATTCAGAATTGCTATCTATGTAACCTCATTTAAACTTACTGAACCACTTTTTCAAAGTAACTACTATGCTATTCAATTGCACTTCATGTCAAGATTACTTTCAATGATAATATTTATGCCAAAAGTTTTACATTCTTGAATCTTGTAGTTTATTATGCTGAAGAACATTAATAGTGCCTCCTTGATATAATAATGCTAGATGATCACAAACTTCCTCAGCTGTTAAAATGCTGATTTTAGAAAAAGAGATAAATACACACAAACAGCAAATGAGTCTAAAGGCAGAGATCTTGAAGATAAACCAATAAGAATAATTATAGTAGACTTAGAGATGGCACATAAAATGGTATGTGCTTGGGCTTTGATAGGGTGATGATTCTTCAGTGATGTAATTTAAAGAGGAGCATGTTCTGATGAGTATCTTGACATTGCTGATGCCGCCAGGTGAGCTTTGGCTTCCTCTCTTTTAAAAATCAAAAATCTCCCTGTTACAGGTTATTAGACAGTGTGCCAAGGTATTCTACTTTGTTCTGATTTACATGTAGTATCAAATCTAAAGCAATTTTATTTTAACACATATTTGTTTTAATATGTCAGTTTGAGCATAACTCTATATTATGTCTTAAAAATCCAATAATCAATGAATTCTGTAGCCCTGTATCTGTAAAGTGTAGGCCGGCATGGTCTGAGGCTGATGACTTTGCTGTTGTCAGTGATGGTGTGGGTATTTGTTGTGGCTGTTACAAGTTCCTTTTTTTAATTCCTAACTTTTTGGTTGTTTTTTTAATGAGCTTATTGACTTGTAATGACTCTCACAAATCAACATTCTGGTGCAATCCTTCAATTCATGCACACAGAGGAATGGTAATCTTTAGTAAAGAAACAAGTGAAAAGGTAGCTAAACAAACTTCACGTATTTTGTAAGATCACTTTAGCTTTGTTTTACAAAAGGTACTGGGTCACTCTTCTTAAAAAAGGATGGAATAATACTTTGACATATGTACTACTGGGAGCACAAATATAGCTAGAGTTTAAATACCTCAGGATAATATTATAACAAAATGATAAACAACCATAGTCTTTCAGTTGCCTGATATAGAGGAAAACAAGTCTCATCCACCTCATTTCAACAAATATCTTAAGAGCACTTACTTCATTCTAAGAACTGTATAAGAATTCAGATTTTTTTTGAACATTCTTTACATACCAGATGTCAAACATTGTCCTTAAATGCTAAGTAATGCCTATGAAGCTATCATATTTGTCCCTCAAAATAATTGATAAAAATAAGGCAAAAATATTATCTTTATTTGAAAAATGAAAACAAAGCTTTGATAGGTGAAATATCTTGTGTTAGGTTCCTTAGTGGTGAGTAAATGTTAAAATGGAGATCTGAAATTAAGCAGTTTGATTCCAAAGTCTGTAGTCTTTTCTTTTTGTCTTTTCACATTTTTTTTAAATGAAAGAATCATTGGTATACAGTCCTTTGATGTTTTCAAATACACAACATGGTGGTTCAATATTCACCCATATTTCAAGTTCTCACACCACCCCCTCCATTGAGGTCACTCTTTATTAACATAGTAAGATGTTACAATTATTAATTGTCTTCTCTGTGCTGTACTACCACACCATGACCTACCTGTATTGTGATTGTGAATTATTGTGCCCCTTAATCCCCTTCTCAAAGTCTGTAGTCTTAAGCTCTATGCAAACTGCTTCCCTATGATTCAGTACAATGATGACAGAGACCGGTGAACCCCACAGGACATGTCATGTCCTGGAGTTAGAGTGCTGTAAACTGGAGTGTAAGTAGAACCACAGAGAACTGGTATGAAGTAATCAAGAACCTGTTAAAATAAGGATTATCTATTTCAGTTTATTTTCCACATCTTTCTGTTGCCATATTTTTTAGAAAGAAGAATTATTAGCCAAAATGGCATATTTCAGGTAGACTAAGCTTAACCTGGTTAATGAATAATAAAATTTGGATATGTAGATTGTCAAGCATCTTAGATATGTTAAAAAGTCTATCGAATGTAATTCAATAACTGTTTCTGACCATCTATTAGTACAAAGTAATAATGTGCCAGCCATGGTGGAAACATAGATAAATAAATCATTGTATCTACCTTCCAGGAGCTCACAATCTAGTATGAAAGACAAATACATCAATTAATAATTTTAATACCACCCAAGCCAATAAATCTTCAACCAGAGTTACACGGTACTTTGGCATTACAGGAGGAGAGATTAATTTTGACTATTTCAAAAATTAATAATGGATATTGAAAAGATTCAGACTCATCACTATTGGGTTTAGAACCTTTGGGATTAAAGAGAAAGAGCCAACTATCTTTCACAACTTACACCTTCTAGAAGGTAAGGTTTATCATTTGTTTATTGAATCTTTATCTTAAAATCTCAAAATATGTAGAAGTCCTATTAGAGTTTCATGTTCTGAGTTTGTTCCACAGGGAGGCCTTACAGAGAATCTAAATTTCATAACTAGGTCATTTTCTGACTTTAATATGAAATATTCTGAACCTTCTTAATCTCTAGATGGATAATTGGGACAGTTAAAGTTCAATTAACTGAATGATGAAAATGTGACAATATCCACTTAATAGGGAAAATATAATGATAAAGATATTTTGTAGTCAGAAAACATAACCATTAATTTCAGAACTGTAAATAAAACAAAATTATCTTTGTATAGGCCCAGGATTCTAACCATGATATTTTAATTCTCTTGTATGTAATGTATACTTTCACAAGAGTTCACTTTTCTTGAAATGAGCAAAAGTAGCAAAAAGTATCCTTTGATCAATTATTCAATTATTCAACAATTATTGAGCCTCTAATATGTACCAAACACTGTGTTGGACACTAGGAGAAAAAAAGATGAATATTATCACCAATAATTAGTTCATTTATAGTTCAAAAACTGTTTGTATGTGTGTTCCTAAACATTTTGTTTTTGCCTCCAAAGGAAATAGATCATTTTTTAATTAAGGTATCATTGATATACAATCTTACAAAGGTTTCACATGAGCAACATTGTGGTTTCAACATTCACCCATATTATTCAGTGCCCTCCACACCCCATTGCAGCCACTGTCCATCAGCATAGTAAGATGCTATAGAGTCACTACTTGTCGTCATGCTATACTATCTTCCTTGGGCCCTACCTATATTGTGTGTGCTAATTATAATGCTCCTTAATCCCCTTCTCCCTCCTTCTCTAAACACCCTCCCCAACCCCTTTTAGTCCCCACTAGTCCCTTCCAGGAGTTTGTGAGT